CCCCCCCCCCCCCCCCCCCCCCCCCACCCCCCCCTTGGAAAAATCCTGCGTACGCCCCCTGGTTTATGTATTGTTAATTTTGGGGCCAACGTATAAGGCTATCTGTTCTTTTTTGTTGAACCCTCATTCTTATAATTTTTTTCTTTTTCTAATTGCTGTTTTGTTTTTTATTGATAAAGCTATGCTGTTTGCAAATTTTAGGTAGTTGATGTTGCTTTTATTGAGAGTGAAAATAAAGACTCAGACCAGGGACATACAGACTCAGAGCAGAGTCCCTTTACGCCTTATTTAAATTCTATTTTTCCCTTTAAAAACACCGTAAACTGAAAATAACAACAACCGACCCTAATAACCACGCGAATATCAACGATGGACTCCGACTCCGACTCAGATTTTGTGTCCTTTGGGACCCCTCTTGAAATAATTGAGGAAGGTGAGTTAATTTTAGCCTACACTCGTGCAATATATGAATCAAGAGCTATGGTCGATTGTTGACCTATGGCGTGGGGGTTATTATGATCTACATGAATGTATGATCTTTGTACTCTAGTAACTTAGTACTGGCTTTCATCGAAAGGGTGTGCGGTGCGGTGCGGCGCGGTGTGGTGTGCTCAACGCACCCATTCGATAAAAGAGGGGGGGGGGGGGGGGGGCTTTTCTCGAAAGGGTGCGTTGAGAGCGGAGTACCGTATTAACACACCCTTTCGATAAAAGCAGAGGGGGGGGGGGGCTTTTCTCGAAAGGGTGCGTCGACTAGTCTTTCGCATCAGTCGTTTAAAATGAGGATCTGGGACAGAAGGTAATAGTTGCCAATTTAAGTGTATCGAAAATGTATTAAATAAAATAAAATGGTCTTGATTACAGAGCGGTCTCTTTCGTTATTACTATGTTGATGGGGGAGACAGAGAGAAGGAAAAAAGGGAAAGGGAAAGAGAAGATAAAAGGAAAGAAAGAAGAATAGAGAAGAAAAGAGGGAAACGGCCGGGGGGGGGGGGGGGGGGCGAAGGGCTCTGCCTCCTCACCCCCCCCCCCCCCCCCCCCCCCCCCGCCAAAAAAAATAATAAAAGAGAGAGAGAGAAGGGAAAGGGGAAAGGGAAAGAAAATATAAAAGGAAAGAAAGAAGAGGAAAAAGAATAAGAAGAAAAGAGGGAAACGGGGGCGAAGGGCTCTTGCCCTCCCCCGCCAAAAAATAAATAAGAGAAAGAGAGAGAGAGAGAGAGAGAGAGATTGAAAGCGAAAGGGAAAGAGACTATAAAAGGAAAGAAAGAAGAGGAAAAAGGAAAGAAAAGATGGAAACGGGGGCGAAGGGCTCTTGCCCTCCCCCTCCCCCCCCTGCCAAAAATAAATAAGAGAGAGAGAGAGAGAAGGGAGAGGGAAAGAAAATATAAAAGGAAAGAAAGAAGAGGAAGAAGAAGAAAAGAGGGAAACGGGGGAAGGGCGGAGGACTCTTGCCTCCCCCCCCCCCGCCAAAAAATAAATCAGAGAGAGAGAGAAGGAAAGGGAAAGAGAAGATAAAAGGAAAGAAAGAAGAGGAAGAAGAATTTGTGTCCTGCCAGTGTCACAAATAGATATAAAAATATGCTCATCTGGCCGTTATTTATTGCCCAAAACCCCTGAGCTTCCGGGGGCTCCACCCCCTTGACCCCACGCCAATTCGTGACCCCTGTGTCACAAATAAGGTATAAAATAATAATAATTTAATGGACAAAACTCCTGAGCTTCTGGGGGCTCCGCCCCCTAGACCCAACACCAAATTGTGTCCTGCCACTGTCACAAATAATAAGGTATAAAATTATGCTCATCCGACATTAATTTTGATGTTTAATACCCCTGAGCTTCTGAGGGCTCCGCCCTGTGAAAAAAACGTGTAAAAAAACACGTTAATTTTACCGTTTTGGGGAGATAGGCCCCCCCTCCCTGGCGTTCAAGGGGGGGGGGGTACGATTTTTCAAATTTTCGAGGGCCCAAAAAAAAGATTAGTGCTCTCTAGTAATTTCGCGACTACTCCGACTACTCCGACTACTTATATAAAGTTTTTCTTTCATGACTTTTTTCTTTCAAGTCTTACGCATCTTTTGAAACATTTTTTGTTGAAAATTGGACGTATAGTTGCGGAGTCACGTGACCTTTTGTTTTTGCATGTCAGCCCTAAAATCGCTCATTTTTGTGATTTATGTACCAAACATAACGGAAATACCATTTATTCTTTAAAAAAAGAGGAAAACATTGGTTATTTGGTCTTGTTTTCAAGTTAATGTGTTTGTTTTGGGGTCAAAATAGTTGAATTGTGGTTAGAAATGAAATAAAACAACAAAAACAATATAATACATAAATACAAATAATCAAAACAAGAGATAACAAAGGGATAAACTGGCTCTTCCAACTTTGTTGTCGTATTATTATTTTAACGAATATAATAGTGAAAAAGAACGCTTGAATATGAATTATATATGATTTATGGGTAAAAATGTGAATTCTCTGACCTTGTTTGCATAAATTACCATAAATATGCAAATGAGTGAATTTTTCAAAAAATTGAAATTACCATAGTTTTTTATACACTTCACTTGACATCCATGCACATTTTCGCGGCGATCGGCGGTGAAACGGCCGAGATCTTAGGAGGGACCCCCCCCCCCACCCTCAAGTCTACTCCAATCACATTGAAAAAAAGTATGACTTAAATCATCTCTCTCATCATTATACCGCTATAGTATTCATGTTTTAATATTATTTATTATCCTTCCATTAAACAAGTTCATAGAGAAAATACTTATCTCTCTGCAACATTAAAAAAGAATCTTCATTAATATGTCTTAATTTGTATTGATAGCCTTGTGGTCGCCAACAGTGGCGTAGGTAGGGGCGTCTCCAAAGGGGGGTGTGGGGGTGCGACACCCCCCCCCCCCCCCCCCACCTGTCAGGATATTGTCGGTAAAATTGCGCTGCCATCGGGAAAAAAGAGAAAGGGGGGAGGGGAAAAAAGAGAGGGAAAGGAAAATGAAAAAGAAAGAAAGAGAAAAACGAAAAAGAGGGAGAATAGGAAAGAAAGGAAAAGAAAGAAAAAAAGGAGGCAAGAGCCCTTTGCCCCCAATTCCCTCTTTCTTCTTCTTCCTCTTCTTTCTCTCTTTTATCTTCTCTTTCCCTTTCCTTCTCTCTCTCTCTCTCTCTTATTTATTTATTTATTTATTAGAGGAGGCAAGAGCCCTTCGCCCCCGTTTCCCTCTTTTCTTCTTCTTTCCTTTTATATTCTTTTCCCTTTCCCTTTCCCTTCTCTCTCTCTCTCTCTCTCTCTCTCTTATTTATTTTTTTGGCGGGGGGGGGGGGAGGCAAGAGCCCTTCGCCCCCGTTTCCTTCTACTTCCTCTTCTTTCTTTCCTTTTATCTTCTCTTTCCCTTTCCCTTCTCTCTCTTATTATTTTGGCGGGGGTGGGGGGGGGGGGGGAAAGGAGGCAAGAGCCCTTTGCCCTTCCCCCGTTTCCCACTTTCCTTCTTATTCCTCTTCTTTCTTTCCCTTTCCCTTCTCTCTCTCTTATTTATTTTTTGGCGGGGGGGGGGGGGGGGGGTAAGAGCCTTTCGCCTTTCCCTGGTTCCCTCTTTCCTTCTTCTTCTTTCTTTCCTTTTATATTTTCTTTCCCTTTCACTTTCCCTTCTCTCTCTCTCTATTTATTTTTTTTGGCGGGGGGGGGGGGGGGTGAGGAGGAGGCAAGAGCCCTTCGCCCCCCCCCCGTTTCCCTCTTTTCTTCTTATTCTTCTTTCTTTCCTTTTATCTTCCCTTTCTCTTTCCCTTTTTTCCTTCTCTCTGTCTCCCCCATCAACATAGTAATAACGAAAGAGACCGCTCTGTAATCAAGACCATTTTATTTTATTTAATACATTTTCGATATACTTAAATTGGCAACTATTACCTTCTGTCCCAGATCCTCATTTTAAACGACTGATGCGAAAGACTAGTCGACGCACCCTTTCGAGAAAAGCCCCCCCCCGCTTTTATCGAAAGGGTGTGTTAAAACGGTACTCCGCTCTCAACGCACCCTTTCGAGAAAAGCCCCCCCTCTTTTATCGAATGGGTGCGTTGAGCATACCACACCGCGCCGCACCGCACCGCACCCTTTCGATGAAAGCCCTTAGTACTGTAGGCTACGACTTCCGAGTTCGACACGAGTAGGCGCATACAGCGCTGCCCAGGGGCGGGGATCGGCTAAGGCTGGCTGCGTGGTCGGGCCTCGCTCGCTCTTGACGTTGCTCATGGCCACACATAGCTGCATATACTATCCTGACTGTGTATTAAAAGCTCTGCTATTGATTCTCAACATTTCAAGCACCACTGTACCAAACTCGGCGCTAGTTCAGAAGTCTATCCACAATTTGACCCGTAACTCGGGCTTGGAGATAGTAAGGTGGTCATGGTTGTGTGTAGACCGAATTTTTCGTCTCTTTCGTTCGTTAGCCTCTTATTGGGGTACGGTCGGCTCTCTCTTTAGAGACCGAAACAGACTATCCCGCGAAATGTGTAGGTTATGTGGACTAATCAGTACACCAAACTTGCAAAACTTATCCTCGAATTACTCCTTTCACAGAATGCATATCCGCTGCATTTTATATTGTAAATTAGGTATAGACCTCTATGCTTAACTACTTCGGTTCCACTTACCAACTTGATTGACATATTCCGTTTAATGGTCCATTTTTAGGAAATTATGGGTCAAAATCGAAATCCATGATAAAAATCTTGCAGCGGTGGTTTAAACTCTCGCTGCGCATGACGTCATCTAAATCTCATTCTTTCTAGTCTACGCCGAAGGCAAAATGATTATAACGGAAAAACTGTGCATGTCATTACGAACTCGTAGCTCGTAGTTCGCGTACTAACACTTAAAAGCGCTTAGATCTATAACAGGAGAACGATACGCGATGCCTGTGTGGGACTGAGACAACAAAATATTTGAGCACCCTCGACAACTATGTCCCTTTTTGGAATGTTTACATATATAAAGCCCATCACAAGAGGGCAGTAAATATGCATGAACTGAGGTCACACTTTTTGACAGACGTCGGTAGTGGTAAGCCTTCCGATTCTTATGACGTTTGGAACATGATATAATGTTGATCTGAATATTTTGTAATGTGCAAGAAAAGAAAAATATCCGCAAACTTTGGTCACCCCTTCATACTAAAACATACCCAAAATTTACTACTCGAAATGAAGTAAATATTCATCAAATGTCCAAATAAAGATGGTAGATAACTTCACACGCTCGCCCGCAACCCACCATCAGTATATTGTGCAGCGGTTTGCCGTGAAACAATTGACAGTAACAGTTTAAAATATGCATTGCCAATTTGATACGATAATAGCGACTAGTTTAGTATATTAATGTCAAATATTTCTCTTATGATTTGACAGATGAGCCTCTTCCAAAACCTATATCAGTACAGGACCAGGTTGTTCATGATCGACAAGGTCGTCAACGTTTCCATGGAGCCTTTACTGGAGGGTTTTCAGCTGGCTTCTTCAACACGGTCGGATCTAAAGAGGGTAAAGTTGAATGAGTATATGAACACAAACAAATGATGTTTTATAAACATCTCAGAGGGGTTTAAGCACCCTTTGAAAATAAATGTGTTGGTATTGCTTGCACTTTAGATATTTGTAAATCACACTCTGACTTTTTTCATGATTTACAAGGTTACATCATTTTAAAATGAGTACAAAACAAATCGTTCAAATACACTTTTCTTAGAAACAAATCATTCTCTTCTTTATGAACGTGGGGCCTTCCTTGTATGTTTATCCATATTTTCTCCATCAGGTTTGGTCCTTTCAGGAAGAAAAAGTATAGAGAAATGTTTGATTTGTGGTCCCTCCCTCTATTTTGAGTCACTGAATAGAGTACACAAATCATTGAATGCATTCAGATGTACTCTCTAAAGACAGTTACAGTTGTAGCCAAGTAAAGTACATCCTTTGATTTCTCTTTTACAGGTTTTACCCCTTCAACCTTTGTATCATCAAGAGGGAAGAAGGCTGATCAACATTATCACAAACCAGAGGATTACAAGGATGAAGATGTAAGCATACCCTAACCCTTGAACGATGCCACAGTATTTGAAAATTGAAAAGATGTAATAAACCGGTTTAATAACATTTTCAATTTTTCAAAAGAAAGGTTGAGCTTGACAACTCGAAAGCTTGCTGGGGGCTTGTCCGGCATAGCAACAAGTAATCGATGCAGACTTGATTCCAAGTATTCTAGTTCATTCATTAATAACATTAATAACAGTTTAATGGAATACCTTGTCCCTAGGGCCTCCACGGAAAACAGTATTGAACTACTGATGGAGCAACCCTACTAAAAAAAGACTAATAAATAAATAAAATAAATAAATAAATAGGTCCCCAGGAAAGAAACATCAATAAATTTGAATTTGTTACTAAACCAGTCTATTGTCACAATACAACTACTTTATCCCCTCCCCTCCCCTTTTTTTCATGTGTAGCTCAGGGTATGACTTAAAATTCAGTAGGAGAGAATGTCATAGAGCCAGAGTGTGTACTAATGTATAGGGAGATACTGGTCTAAACCAGTTGGGGTAATAGGTAAACCTGACTTAATATGGTTGGTCACACCACATCCCACACATCGCCATATGGTCCCTGTTTTGTTGTTTGGAAACTGACACTCCGATAAAGATGATGAAATATATAAGAAATTGCAGTATTGCTCACCAGAAATGTTCATCCACCTTAAAACACTTTAGTCTTCAGTTAAAGGGACCCGGTAACTTTGTCTTAGATCCTTTAGAAATAATCCTTGATTTAGCTCATGCTGCAATCTATAATAATAATACGCTAAGGCTCCGCGGGGGGCGCGACGTCTCCGCGAGCCTTTGTATTCTATTGTTTTTTAATGAGATCGCCGACCGAAGTTGGTGCGGCTATCTCCTCCTGAACCCTCCCCTCGGGGTACCCGTGCCCGGTGCCATCGTCCGCGGGAGAGTCTACTCTGTGGAATTGGCTATACTCCGCCCGAGGTCCTCCTCCGTGTCGGCGTCCAGGGCGAAAACAGACGCGATATGCATAATGCAGGATATGCGTGACGACAGAGATACCTCATGGATATTCAACATTGACACACGACCGATGACTATCCGTATAAAATTGTATACACAAAAATCGGTCGTAAAAAAACTCGAACCATATTCCATACCTTACCTGGCTTACCATGTCGCACGCAAGTACGTCAAAACACGTACATTTTCGCAGTTGCGAGATCGAGACGGAGCGTAGGGCTCGAGTTTTTGGCGGTCGATTTTGTTTTGGTAGAAGCTGAATCTAGACCATGAACCACTAAACATCGCAAAACTGCAATCAATTTCCATCACGAATTCACGATTGCTGCAATATTATAAAGTTTCCATAAATAGAGGTATAAAATTAAAGCCTATTTGTGATGTTCTCGCCATGTTTACGTAATTTTGATAATCATTTCTTCAAAGTAAAGAAAATCAGACAAAATCACCGTAACTGACACGCATACAATACAGTGCATTGCCACTGTGTAGTGTGTGTGAGATGAGCTGAGTTGCAGTTATGCAGCAGTGTGTGAGTTGAATTCGAGTCGAAGAGATTTGACACTTTGAAATTGTTATCTGTTGGTTTGCATGATTATTGCCGCGATTTCAATATAGTTTCGTGAATAGATTTACGAAACCTGAGCTTCGAATTAGTAAAAGTATTACTAATGTCTACGTTTTTAAACGACTGTCTGATTTTCTTGTGAAAATTTTACTTTGAAAAATGATTATCGAAATTCATGGTCAGAAATAATCACAATCTAGGGTCTATTAAATATGTTACAGTTCTTGCATCAAATCAATGCATGAAAACTTAGTTATTGAACTAGAAAAATGTTTTTTTTTTTAAATAGGCAATTATGAAGTAGGAAGCCTGAAACCTTAGCCTAGACCTACTAAACAAATCTCAACAAAGTGTAGGCCTATCCTTTTATGAATTAATGAAAAAGTAGCCCCAGAAAAAAGAGCCCCGAAAGTTGAAAAAGTAGCCCCCAAAAATTTCCCAAGAATTTGAAATGGAGGCCCCGAAATGAAAAAACTTAATTTTTTGCCTGCGCCCCCCCCCCCCCTCTAGAATCCCGCGGATTTCCGCGGGTCCTGAGTTGAATGTATATATAATATAGGCGTGGGGTCCACGGGTTTCAAGGGGCCATAAACCCCCGAAAGCTCGGGGGTTACGTTCTTCAAAGTTGGGGGGGGGGGGGGGAGAGATGAGATCGCGGCGAGTTGAGTGTATATACAATATAGGCGTGGGGTCCACGGGTTTCAAGGGGCCATAAACCCCCGAAAGCTCGGGGGTTACGTTCTTAAAAGTTGGGGGGGGGGGAGAGATGAGATTGCGGCGAGTTGAGTGTATATACAATATAGGCGTGGGGTCCACGGGTTTCAAGGGGCCATAAACCCCTGAAAGCTCGGGGGGTTTAGGCGTTTAATTAGGGTCAGATGAGCATATTTTTATTACTTTATTTGTGACACTTGCGGGTCACTAATTGGCGTGGGGTCAATACGTAGAGTTGCGTAGTGTTGCGTACCAACTACGCTGGCCTACGTTACTATATGCTGAGGGACGGAAAGAGTTACGCAAGATGAACGAAAACAATTCAACATGTTTAATTTTTTTCGTGTACTTTCGGCGTAGAAACTTGACGCAGAAAGTACGCCTTTTTACGCAACACTACGCTACATGACTACGCAACAGTACGCTACCCTATGCCAGATCGTCAAAGCAGTAAAAGCTTTCTACACAGTAAGCAACCATAAGCAAACCTGTACGCCAGCCTACGCATAACCTACGCAGGGACTATTTTCCCATTAATACGCAGCCTAATTTCTGCGTAGTCAGTACGACACACTACGGAACTCTACGCAGTTCCAGTGGCTTAAAGAATAACTACAGGTACAGTTGGATCGTATTTTTTTTTTTATATAAGGCCAAATTAAAAAAAAAACATGTTTAGCATCTGTTTTTATGAAAAATGGGAAGGAGGAGGCCCTTTTTTTTTTTTTTTCTTTCAAAATTGCCGCTCCGTACATTTTCCCTGACATTCTGGCTATTTTTCAAGATGGCGGCCAACAATTTTTTTTTTTTCTTTTTTAAAATCAGAAATACATTTTAGCAGTGCTTTTCATGTTTTTTTTCTTTCAAAAAAAAAAAAAAATAAAAAATAAAAAATTAGAAAAAATAAATAAAAATAGGAGGCGGCCCCCTTTTCTTTCAAAAAAAAAAAAATAAATAAATAAATAAATAAAAATAGGAGGCGGCCCCCTTTTCTTTCAAAAAAAAAAAAATATTAAACAATTACAAAAAAATATAAAAAAATATTAAAAAAAAAAAAAAAAAAAAAAAAAATAGGAGGCGGCCCCCAAAAAGGAAGCAGGCGGGGACGCTTTTTTTTTCTTTAAAAAAAAAAAAAAAAAAAAAAAAAAATCAAAAAAATTTCAAAAAAATTTCAAAAAAAAAAAAATAGGAGGCGGCCCCCAAAAAGGAAGCTGGCGGGGACGCTAAACATGTTTATTTTTTTAATGGCCTGAATGGCAAATAAAGTTCTTGGTGGTTTTAATTTAGGCAGTCTCTATATATCTATTTACACCCCCGCCCCCCTCTAGAATCCCGCGGATTTCCGCGGGTCCTGCTAGTGATAATTATAAACCTTTAGGTCAGTCAGGAACTCCATGGCTTTTACAAGCCAATCGCCTGTCTGATTATTAAGATATTAATGATTGGAATTACAAATTTTGAAAATCGTTCGCTGAACTGTTTTCACAACACTACAGTCTATTGGAGAAAACGAGTATGGTAAAACCGGTCACTCAAAGATAACCAACCCCATGGGTTAGCCCTGTCATTGTAGAACCAAAACAAAATGGTGACATTCGATTGTGTGTGGATATTAGACAAGCCAACATGGCTAATGTTTGGGAAAGGCACCCAATACCCACTGTCGACATGATTGTGTACAACATGAATGGCAGTGAGATATTTAGCGAGCTGGACTTGAAGACATGGAGATGGGCACAAACATACTCATCACAAGTCTTCTAAGGGTAGGAAAAACAGACATGGTTCGTCAGTGATTATGATGCAAGCATGAGTAGTGAAATAGTATGAAGGGGTGACCACAGTTCGCAAACATTTTAGAACATATTACAAAATGTGATATTGGATATTATATACCTCACTTAAGTAATCCAGCAATCTGATTGGTCGAATTTGCATTCATAAACTTTAACTGTTCCCGAAAATTCCCGGTAACCATGGTTTAAAACAGTTCAAAATCCCAATAACCATGGTTATTGGGAAAATAGGTCAGTCTCCATGGTTACCCCATGGGTTTACATGATAAAAAATGGTCTGAGCGATCGAGGATACCGTACGTGTGCGAAGCCTTGGTCGGTAATTTCAATACAATTGAATCTCGATCGACCTTACCGACAATTTTATCTTGCATTGTTGACATGAAGACGAAAATAAACTTCCAAAAACAAAAAAACAACATCTGCCGATAGATCTTGATCTAAGTTCGTGCCAATATGCATTGCAAAAGTAAAAGAAGGGCCCGTTTAATGGAGCAGCGGCGAAGCATCCACCACTCGAAGCCGTTTTCAATCCATTTTAATGTATATATTAGAGAACACTACTATATGTGGTGACAGAGCGCGCTGGCCGAGCGGTCTAAGGCGCTGACTTTACTAACCCACCTTTTGTACGCAAGAGTTCGAATCCCATCTTCGACAAAAGTTTTTTATTTTTTATTTTTATTTTTATTTTTATTTTTTTGGCATATAAAAGTATTAATGACTGCTTTAATATTCGAGAAATAGTTGTTTTATACGCTCTCGGGAAGGTTACAATTGGTCATGCACGCCTCGGGGCAATAGCACAATTCTAACCTTCCCTTGAGCGTATAAAAACAACTATTTCTCTCAAAGCAGTCATTAATACTATATTATTTTTCATATTCTACACAAATTCATTTATTTCATATGGACGGCACAGTTTTGTACTACAAATTAGCTCAAGTAGAAAATTTATTGTTGAGGTATTTCAGAGATATCGCGATCTAAAAATTTGATGTCTGATCGTGCTTGCGCGCTGCATCAAAAAAGTCTTTAAAACAACGAGACATAACTTCACGCACAGGAGTTTACAGCCGGTTTATACAAAAATGCGATTCATCAAAAACTAGACATGTTTATAAAATGCTATTGCTAATAATGGCGTTTGCGCACATTTTTTTTAACCTGAAATTGACCGGACTGATATTGACCTTGATCACGATAAATATGAAAGAGAAATTACTTTTCGTTATGAAGATATGATCATGAGTTGTTTTCACAAAATGGAGCCTAGATGATGTTATCAGTCAAGGTCAAGGTTGAAAACCTTATTGTGCTCTTTCCATATGCCTATACATATATGTGCCAAATTTCAATGCATTTGATTGAGCCATTTTCAAGTTATCATAAGGTGGTCAGTATTTTATTTCATATTTCTCGGTAACGAGAATACATGAGAGCCCGCCCGCAACGCTACAATCAATACGTTCGTCCCGCTTACATCGTATGATATACGAAATCTTTGAGCTGCAAAAATCTGTTTATATTTTTGCAATCCTTCGTTTCTGGCAGAGTTTTTTGCCGAAATCCACTCGTAGAAAAGTTTCTGACACTTTTGAAACGGGTTTTGTTCTAAAATGGACAAATCTTGGGACTCTAAAAACAATTTTGAAATCCCATCTTCTGCTCGGTGCCTGCCGGGCACGAGCAAGTCACCATCGGAACCTGCAATCACGGCAACGGGTACTAACCCGCAGGCAGCCGGGCCCATAATGCCTACCTTACCCGGTGCTTCTCCCCCGACGAGTAAAGCAAAGCCGAGCTCGGGCATCGCTGTGGGTACTCCCAAATGCAAAATTAGTAGCAAGGCAAAGCCGAGCGTGCAAGAAAATACTAAATCGTCTAAGACGAAAGTCAAATCCTCTGAAAATAAATATGTTGGTAAGGCTAAGCCAAACCGCGAGGTTGACAACACGAGCAAGGCTAAGCCGCGCTCGGACTCAAAATCGAAGTCTGTGGATTCACGCATTGATAAGCTGGAAGACATGCTTTCTGTGTTAATGGAGAGAATCCCTGCCCCGGCACAGCTGGCTCTGGCCCCACAGACATTCTCCTCTCCGGTTGATAAAAACACGGAGCCCCTCTCGGTAGGAAGATTGACCTCGGGGGAAGGCCTTTTGGCCGATGATTTTTATGATGGAAGTGAATCGCCAGGTAGCGAACTTCTTTATGATACCGACGATGTCGGAAGCATGGGCAGAGCTGTTGGTAGTGTGCCTACTACTGCCGGCAAGGGACAAGATTCAATTCCCATGATCGCCGCAAAATTTGCCATGCCCTCGGGGATTGGTGCCCCCTTACATGACGACATAGCTCAATCTATGACTTATTTGATGAGCAACAAACTGGAAGAAAAATCTCTGGATGAGGCGGCTGAGAAATATCTTTCCCCCGAAAACTGTGAATTGCTTGACACTCCAAGAGTGAACACAATTATTTGGGAAAACTTGCGTTCAGCAACTAGAAATAAAGATCTGAAAATTCAGTACATCCAGAAGTCATTAACCAAAGGCTTGTGTGCTTTTGCACGATCTCTGAACCCGGCTACGATGACCCAGGAGCAGCATGATGCATTGGCGCTGCTATGTAATGCCAATTACGGCCTAAATTCCATGAGGAAGAATTTGATCAAACCGGATCTCAACCCTCTTTTTCATCATCTGTGCCGGCCAACTTACCCAGTTACCAAACACTTGTTTGGCGAGGATCTGGGGCGCCAGGTTAAAGAACTGCAAGAACAGCAAAAAGCCACGGCAGGTGTTATGAACACGAGAAACCAGCCTCAAGACAGGCATCAACGCTCATATCATCCTTATCGCAAGGTTACAGACTATGCCAAGCACACCATGAAACGAGCTGGCTGGTTCCCCAATCAAGATCAAGGCAATTCGTCATCCCGTATGTATGGGAACTCAGAGCGCCCTTTTTTAGGGCAGCGCCAGAATTCCAACTTCAAGAAAGGGAATTCAAAACAACAGGCATCACACACCTACACCCCAACAGCAGCCAACAGGGGCAAACAATCGTACCATCGCAAGAAGTAGTCGAGGGAAATTCCCCTTCAGGCTCAAGCACTCAAGAGGTTAGTGTTTGTAATGAAGCCGTGTCTGATATGGTCGGAGGTCGACTGAAGCCATTTTATGAAAATTGGTGCAAAATTACTTCAGATCCATTCTTACTTCAAGCTATTCAAGGCTACAAACTGGAATTTGATCCAGACAAATTCCCCCCCATACAAGACAAGCCCCTCCACACTTACAAGCGAAATGCTATGGAGATGGCTAAGATCCATGAGGAGTTGAATACTCTAGAAAATAAAAACGTCATTGAGCGTTGCTCACACGTCAATGGTGAATTCATTTCACACATTTTCACAAGACCAAAAAAGAATGGAGGAGTTAGACTAATTCTGGATTTGTCCAAACTTAATAAATACATTACTTTTTACCATTTCAAAATGGACAACATTTTCACTGCTGTCTCCCTCTTGTCTGAGGGAGACTTCATGGCTTCAGTTGACCTTCGCGATGCATACTACACGGTACCCATTCATACAGAATCTAGAAAGTACCTTCGCTTTGTGTGGCAGGGACAATTATGGCAATTTAAAACCCTGCCAAATGGGCTTAGCTCTGCCCCCAGGCTATTTACTAAGCTTCTCAAACCTGTGTTTGCCTGTCTTAGACAATCCAAACACAAAGTTGTTGGATATTTGGATGACACTATAATTATTGGTAAAACCAAGTCTAGAACACTAGAATCCTGACAGCTACTACAATGTTACTGAGTAGACTGGGATTCATAATTCATCCAATAAAGTCGGTGCTTGAACCGACTCAAGAAATTGAATTTCTTGGATTCAGACTTAATACAATTAGAATGGAAATTACACTGCCTGTTAACAAAGGCAAAGACGTAAGAGAGGCATGCATTGGGTTGCTAGAGAAGAAAGCCCCCTCCATAAGGGAAGTTGCGAAGATAATTGGGAAAATAGTAGCAACATTTCCAGCTTCTCAGTATGGGCCACTGCATTACAGGGCACTAGAGAAAAAGAAAATAGCAGCATTAAGGTGCAATAAAGGGCACTTTGACAGGCCCATGGTACTTTCACCTAAATCTAAAGATGAAATAAACTGGTGGGTTTCAAATGTTACTTCAATTAAGTGCCCTATGCATCATGGGAAATTCATGATGGAATTGCGCACCGATGCCAGTGGAAAAGGCTGGGGTGCTACAGATCTAAAATCACAAACAGGGGGCAGATGGAACAGCCAAGAATTAGCTAGGGCTCCCAATAATGAAATAAATTATCTTGAGACCCTTGCAGCAGGCCTCGGGTTGAAAGCTTACTGTTCTAACATGAGAAATACACATGTTCTGATTAGGCTTGATAATATGACAGCAACTGCGTACCTCAATAATATGGGAGGTATTAGATCACACTCCTGCAATGAAATTGCCAGTCAAATTTGGGAGTGGTGTAAGGATAGAAATATTTGGTTAACGGCTGCTCATCTCCCAGGTACTCTAAACGTCGAAGCAGACCGCATGTCTAGGAAATTTAATGACAACATTGAATGGATGCTCGATAGGGCTATGTTCAAGTCAATAGTGGGTAGATATGGTCTGCCAGAGGTAGATTTGTTTGCAACTAGACCCAACGCTCAGCTACCAAAGTATATTTCGTGGATGCCAGACCCTAATGCTTGGGCAGTGGATGCATTCACAGTAGACTGGGGTACTCTCAATTTTTATGCCTTCCCACCTTTCAACATAATTCCAAGGTGCCTACAGAAGATTAAAGTAGACAATGCACGAGGCTTATTGGTGGTACCAAACTGGCCTACACAAGCCTGGTTCCCCATTCTTGAAGAAATGTTGCTTGAAGAGCCCATGCTTTTGCCATGGAACATTTCACTTCTCACTCAGCCAGTGTCTGGCAGTCCTCACCCTCTCACTAATCTTGATCTCCTTTGTTGCAGGCTTGGCGTGCACACTGTGACCTACATGGATTAACAGAGAGAACTACAGACATTATTGGTGCATCATGGAGAGAATCAACAAAGAAACAATACAACATTTACATCTCCAAGTGGAAAATTTTCTGCGAACAGCACAAACTTCCATGGATGCAGGCTAAAGCTAAGGATATTTTAGAGTTTTTCAGTGACCTTTTTTACAGACATAATGCTAGCTATAGTGCTATCAATACAGCAAGGAGTGCCCTGGCATCAGTCATGAGTTTGGATGATAGCAACTATACGATTGGTTCACATCCTATCATAAGCAAGTACATGAAAGGTGTTTTCCAGCTAAGAACTCCAACCCCACGCTATGCTCAGGTTTGGGACGTCAGTATTGTATTGGATTACCTTCGTCTTCAACCAGCTAATGATAAGCTTCCTTTGTGTAAATTGACTCAAAAATTGAGCATGTTACTTGCGCTTTGTGCCGTACATTGCATTGAACAATATATAAAACTGACAAAAGAAATAAGGAAGTCAGAGAGACACCTGTTCATCTCGTTTCGGAAGCCACACAAAAGGGCATCCTCGCAAACAATTTCGAGATGGATCAGAGTTGTGATGAAAATTTCTGGCATCGATACGGACCAGTACAAGTCTCACTCTACAAGGGCAGCATCTACTTCAATAGCCAAGAAGATGCACATCCCAATGGATGTGATTCTCAAGCATGCCGGTTGGGCCAATGAGAAAACTTTTGAAAAATACTACAACAAACCAGTGAATACGGGACATTCTACTTTCACTCAAGCAGTCCTACATCACTGATTCTGATTTCTACCAGGACCAGGTTAGCTATTCCTGATATTTGTTGACAAATTATTGTCGCATATGTGACTACTGAGCTTTGAAGTCTCATGTATTCTCGTTACCGAGAAATATGAAATAAAATAGGAGGATTAAACGAGAACTTACAGTTTGAAGTTTGATCCTTATTTTATGAGTATTAGGAGGTTAGAGAATACATGCCCTACCTCTCCCTCCCTTGCTCAGGATCATTAGTATGTTCTCATCAGTCCTATTTTATTTATTTTATTTGTTGTGGACTGAGCTTGTAGAGAATTGTCTTAGCTACAACAAATCCAAATTTGGAAGAAAATTGATCAATATTTACAGAGATGCAATCAATTTTCCATAAATATGCTGACGTCATAATATGCAAATTCGTATTTTGAGTTCCAAGGCCATTGTGACGTCAGAATTTTTTTTATAGCCAAATGAGACATGAAATCATATCTCCAACTCATACTCTATCTAAATACCCCAAAAAATTGGGGGTCCAGGTCAGGGGCGTAAATCCGTACCGAGGAGTGGGGGGGATGATCGGCGATAGCCATCACATACTAGAACGAGCGCACGCCCACACTAATTAACGCAAGCGCGCGCGATCGCGCACGCACAAACACACACACAACACACACACACGCACACACGCACGCACACACACACTTTTTTTTTTTTTTTTAACAATTTTGTTTTATTTCTCCAGATGTGTAATACAAACCATGACATACAATTGAATAAAATAAACGTGTTCAATATTGATGCTTTTACATAAACATAATTAAACACAAACTTATTTGCAGTATAATATAACACACACAAACGCACACACACACACGCACACACACAAACGAACAAACAACAAACAATATTAGAGAAAGAAGACGATTCCTTGTACCGTTCTCGAAAATAATCCTCGTCTGGATTCAGTTCCCCCCCCCCTCCTGCGCGAACCGCGGAAGCTTTTACGTTTCATAAAACCATTAGAGAAAGAAGACGATTCATTGTACCGTTCTCGACTCTTAATCCTCGTCTGAATTCAGTTCCCCCCTTCACTCCTCCTGCGCGAAGCGCGAAAGCTTTTACGTTTCATAAAATCATTGGAGAAAGAAGACGATTCGTTGTATCGTTCTCGACTCTTAATCCTCGTCTGAATTCAGTTCCCTCCTTCACTACCGCGCGAAGCGCGGAAGCTTTTACGTTTCATTAGATCATTAGAGAAAGAAGACGATTCGTTGTTCCGTTCTCGACTCTTAATCCTCGTCTGAATTCAGTTCCCGCCTCCCCTCCCTCGCGAAGCGCCTAAGCTTTTACTTTTCATTAAATAATTAGAGAAAGAAGACGATTCGTTGTACCGTTCTCGACTTTTAATCATCATCTGAATTCAGTTTTTCCCTCACCCCCCCTCCCTCCCGCGCAAAGCGCAGAAGCTTTTACGTTTCATTAAATCATTAGAGAAAGAAGACGATTCGTTGTACCGTTCTTGACTTTTAATCCTCATCTGAATTCAGTTTTTTCCTCCCCCCCCCTACCTCCCGCGCGAAGCGCGGAAGCTATTACGTTTCATGAAATCATTAGAGAAAGAAGACGATTCGTTGTACCGTTCTCGACACTTAATCCTCGTCTGAATTCAGTTCCCCCTTTCACTCCCGGGCGAAGCGCGGAAGCTTTTACGTTTCATTAAATCATTAGAGAAAGAAGACGATTCGTTGTTCCGTTCTCGACTCTTAATCCTCGTCTGAATTCAGTTCCCGCCTCCCCTCCCGCGCGAAGCGCCTAAGCTTTTACTTTTCATTAAATAATTAGAGAAAGAAGACGATTCGTTGTACCGTTCTCGACTTTTAATCATCATCTGAATTCAGTTTTTCCCTCCCCCCCCCTTCCCTCCCGCGCAAAGCGCGGAAGCTATTACGTTTCATTAAATCATTAGAGAAAGAAGACGATTCGTTGTACCGTTCTTGACTTTTAATCCTCATCTGAATTCAGTTTTTCCCTCCCCCCCTCCCCCTCCACACCCCTCCCGCGCGAAGCTCGGAAGCTTTTACGTTTCATTAAATCATTAGAGAAAGAAGACGATTCGTTGTACCATTCTCGACTCTTAATTTCTTTAAAAAGGGGGTCCGTGGGTTTTTTTTTCTCTCTCTCTTTGGACTCCTGAGAAATGTAAAAAAGGAGGTTATAAATTATCTTGAATATCATAGAAAAATTGATCAAAACCCGGGATCAAATTCCTGAAATTCCTGCTAGCTTTGAAAGCTCATTCAGGATTATTTCATTTTGAAAAGTAAAAGCATTGGCCCCCAGTCCCCCTCGATCGACTAGAGCTCACCTGAAATTGGGGGGGGGGGGTTGTTTATTTAGCAGTGTTCCGGATTTGGGGGGGGGGGGTCTCCAAGATAGGAAAAGCCAGCGAAAAGCCGGCGAAAGGGGGATTCAGAAATGTTGGCAGTCCTGAGATAGGGTGAGGGGGGGTGCTTTCAAAGGGCGGGAACGAGCGTACGCGTACCCTAAATAATACTAAGTGGGGGGAGCCGAGCATCTACTGTACATGATTGCACTTTTTAAGCGCTCGCGCGCTAGCGCACTTTACGTCTGGGCTATAATAATACCTTGCAAAATAACGAAAAATTATTCTAAAGTTTATGAAGTGCTTGTTCGCGCACGTCGCGCAACTACTCTTAATGATCGTGACATACTATATCCATGTAGGCTATACAGTTATACTTACATTAAAAAAATAACTCATTTCTCATGTATTATGCTAAAATTGAAACAATCACATTTTGTTTTTCTTCTTCTTCTTTTTCTTCTTCTTCTTCTTCTTCTTCCTTTTTTTTCTCTCTTTTTTTTGTAATATCAGGGGGGGGATGATTGTACAGGCCATACCCCCCTACTTCGAGCCAGGGGGGATGCAGCCCCCCCATCCCCCCCGGGATTTACGCCCCTGGTCCAGGTGCATCCCAAAAAGCTGTAATGAAATTTGTATAGTCATGTTTTTGCCCATATATGCTATGCATTACAAGAGCTCGCACGCACGGACATTTATCTTGAACGGACGCTCATTCCGTTCTCAATTATCATAAAGGGATAAACATGGTATCAAGTTGTTTTGAAAAAAATTAGTAATGTCATGAAAGAAAAAAAAAATGGCGATTCTAAGTTGTGTAATTGTTTTACGCGCGAAAATGCGCGCGCATTCTATGAAATGCTCAAAATGGCCTAAAACGTATGCAAAATTAATTTGAGATGATTTGGAGCATTTTAAAATTTTGCACGCTCACAGACGCACAGATGGCTAGATTCTGCGCACAATTAAATCAATGCACATTTTATGGCGCATAATTTTGGTTTGAGTCATTTGCATAACATGGTACACACGGGACTGTAAACACCTTTCCTACTTCAACACTTCAGTAACATGATGTAAACAACAGTTGTACTTTGCAAGCTTTGATAAAAAATGAATACAACTTCAAATAAAAGAGCATCAGGTGGCCTGAAACCAAAGACTCATAAAGACTTGGATGTTGGTTTGTTGTTTATACCAGTTGTTTTGCTTTGGCAGTTACTTAATGGAAAATAGATAGAGAATGTATTTTCAGTGACCTTGTTTGTCATTTTAGGTTAATTGAGGGAAATTTAAATAGTAAATGAGTTTAAGGAGTTTGAATAAAATGATATAAGCAATTCACATTCTGAATATTGAAATACATTTATTTGTAACAGGTGAATGGAATAATTTGTCACGAAATTGCCTATTATCATTTTGTTTTCTTAACATAACAATCTACATGTACCTCTGTACGAATTAACACACCACTAAGTGGTTTTGAATTCTCACTACCCTAAATAGGTACGAAAATCTCGAAATTCGCGAGACGAGGTAATTTTCACTCTCTCGGGTCGTCACTACAACTTCCGGTATAGAGTCCCATCCCGCTGGCGCTAGCGCCTGTGTTCGCTGTGCAGAGTTTTCACGCACGCTAAAATCGATGCCAATCAGTGTAATTTGTACAGATTATAATATGCAATGGAAAGCTTCGGGCAGAATTAGTGACTTTAGCACAAAAGGCCGTTAAACTCTACCGTGAAAGAGAGGGTTGTGATCACGAACGCCTGCACAGGAAGCTGTAATGTCGAAAAGCTATCCCATAATGCAATGCGCGTTTTCAGGATTTTCCCCGGATCTCGGCAGAATCGCTATTTGGGGTAGCGAGAATTCAGACATAAATTTGTGTGCCTTTTGATTGCCTAAACTGTATGTAGTTTCAAAAAT